CTCCGCGGCCATCTTTATCTACATCATCACGAGCTTCACCCTTAAACTTATTTCATGTTTTCAATTCGTATGACACGAAAGAGAAATTTTATTTGTTTCTTTCTTTTTGAACTGCTTTCAAGCCATATCAGATACGGAAATCAATTAAATTACAGTTATTAAAATATAACGAACTTTTGATAAAATGGAAAATACTGATAGCGTGTCCGCTAAAGAAACTACGATAATGTCTACCGGTGCATAGAGGTAAAAATTTGTTTGCTAATATTACTTCCTTGTGAATCTTCTTTTTATTAAATGTTTTTTATTTTATTTAGAATAAATGTAAATTTATTGAAAGTCTTTTATTGTCAGTTTTATTACAAGATTTTATTACAGTCTTCTCAATCATCTTTTGATGAAAAAAGAATCTTAATCTGCACCCGAGTTTAATGGACATAGTAGTCAGTCATCGATATGCTGCAAGATGTCACAAACAACTCAAGATATTTTTAAATAGCACACATTGTTATTTATATAGGGTTGCAGAATATATATTTAAATTGCTAAATATAGACATAAACGCTTACAAAAAATACAGATACTTCCTTTCAACAAAGCTAAAATTTGGACATAACTACAAAAATGTGTCTTGAAGTTATGACAGAAATATAAGAAATCTAAAACTACCGATTAAAAAGATAGTTAATATGGTTCCAAACCTAATATGGAACAATTTCAGCATTTACAGTCCTATTTATTATTTATAGTTTTCAAGTCTAATATTTATCTGAATGTCACGAAAATTATCTGAACATCACGAAAATGATCAACTGCATGAATTTTACATGATACAGCACTTAATGTTAATTCAAATCAACAAGTACGCACACACGCATTAACAATTACATTTCCTCGATGGCTGGAAATTCCTTAGCATTCGAAAAGAACATGCAAAGTTTAATTTCTACCGAGAATTTCTGTTGAGAAATACTGGCATGTAGCTGGTGATTTCAAGTCGAAGAATTATGGTGTACATATGAAAAGAAACGTTTTCAACTACGTCGCAATATCGACAACAGGTTTTAAAACGTACTTGAATATCGTTTTTGAAATAACAGTAGTTGATTACGTATGTTAAGTAGAATGCTGCATTTGGATATTCTTGTCAACAAATTAACGATCAATGGAACGGCAGAATTAATTATAAACAACCGATTAGGTGATTGATCATAATCGTCATGTATTCTTGTAGAGATGAGAAGATACGTAAAGTACTCTTCTGTGTGAATTGTGCGTGTAAAAACTGTGTTAATACTCTGACTACACACTTTATGTAATCAATGGCTTTTGTAATTTGATTATGCAAGCTTTCATGATACACTGGTTTGTAATTAGTCTAGAGTTCTAAATACCAGAATTTTCAATACTTAAACGTTTTCAAATTTTGGCGCCAAGTGCAGGCGTCCTCACATTTGAATAAAATTACCACGAACGCGGTATAACAAGATAATTATAAGATTAAAAAGTATGTAATCTATAAACGCCAAATGCAATGAAAATATTAGAAGTTATATTTTACAACATAAAGTTTAATATTTGACGAGGCGTCTTACATTTCTTGTCAGCAAAGAAGCGATAGTAAATGTTTTTGTAAATAGTTAGTTGTAAAATGACGAGACTTTAAAAGTAAAATAAAGAATAGAAGCTTCGAATGAAGATATGTTATTCGAACGCGTATTGACGTAACTAATCAACTAGGCGTGTAAAATATTAAAATAAAAAAATGAAAATCAACAAATGGAAAGTGTTCGTACACTTCGTACTCTGTTATCTGCAGTTGCATCACAAGTTTGACGCATTTCTTTGGTACATTCGTAAATCAAAACATTTTGTAACGATGAGTCTAAGGGACCAGATGTTTTTGAACAATAAGATAACTATGATAGTTGAGCAGTAGACTGATTAATGTTGCAGTATCTTGTAAACAGCGGTTCAAGGTAAATATATCAGCTATAAATACCTTGGGAACGTATTTGTCCAATTAATCGGTCAACTCTTGTTAACGATATTAACTGCGTCCTAATGAATGTTGAGTTTTCGTGAAGATTAGTGAACAGTGAACTGTGTGCGTTTTGTGAATTCAATTTCTGTTTTCATACAAGGTTTGTAATCGTTGCATCGTTGCATTTTGATAAATATTCAGAGTTAAACTTATTTCACTCATACTAAAAACCTTACTTCATAGTTTATACTGACGTGTAATTACACTTGCATTATATAAAGTTGTACTTCAAAAATACACGTCGAAAAATATATGGACAAAGGATAAAACACATTAATTCATTGTTTCAATAAAAATTAGCAAGGACTTAAAAGAACACCTTAACAAATTTTGTAACTTGAAGTAAACATCTTGTGGAATAGTCAAATGATATCTTATGGTAGCTTTAGTGTTAAACTTTCGCACTTAAAAGACTCACCATTTGATTTAATAAAAGTAATTCGAAACAAGAAATTTTATAATTAAATATGACTACCGTGTTGCATATTGTGTATAGTAAGCAGTGTTATATAAGTTATATAGTATATAGTGCTATACATGTTATACATCACACAGTGTTATAAATGTCACACAGTAGACAGTGTTACATGTTATACAGAATACTGTGTTATATATGTTAACACAGTATAGAATGTTATAAATGTCATATAGTATACAATGTTACATATGTGACACAGTACACAGTATCTATACATGTTATATATCATACAGTGTTATAAATGTCACCCAGTAGACAGTGTTACATGTTATACAGAATACTGTGTTATACATGTTACACAGTATAGAATGTTATAAATGTCATACAGTATACAGTATTACATATGTGACACGTATACAGTATCTACACATGTTATACATCATACAGTGTTATAAATGTCGCACAGTAGACAATGTTAGATGTTACACAGAATACAGTGTTATACATGTTAACACAGTTTAGAATGTTATAAATGTCATACAGTATACAGTGTTACATATGTGACACAGTACACAGTATCTACACATGTTATACATCATACAGTGTTATAAATGTCACACAGTAGACAGTGTTATATGTTACATACATTCTGTGTAACATAGAACACTGTGTACTGTGTGACATTTATCACATATATGTGTATCATACGTGTCATATGTGACACGTATACAGTATTCTACATGTCCTACACGTATGTTACACTATACGGTATATAATAATATAAATATACATATAAACACAGCGAAACTATACCAATAATTAATAATATAAAAATTGACAACTTTAAGAGAATCAGATTTGAACCAAAAAGTGCTAAAATCGCTACCTGCAGCAGAAATATTCAAGTGCACAGGGTTGGCGCCAGCATCAATTCTGTATCTAATCGCAAAAACGCTTGCAATTAGTTTCGCATGCCGGTCGCACGACTACAAGGTTTTATACGCCAAAGAATCGGCATTACTTCGTCCGAGAAAAATCGCAAACTATCGACAATAATTGTGCGTGAACGCCATTCGTAGGATTCCAAGTAGCGACATGTAATCGCGTAATTATCATCCTTGCGCATCTCGTATAATAGTAATCGACCGCGGTAATAATCGCGGACACCTCGAATCGTGGATGTTCGCGATTTTCTTTGCTCACCGTGTAGCTACTTTAATCGTTTTTCTTTTTGCTTTCCCTTTCCCCCTGTCACATGCAGGTCAATAGCATTCTGGCCTTCTAACGAGACTCGCATTGTCCCGATTCTTCGGTCTAAATGGAGACACGCGAACACTTCGAACATCTGTAATCAATGTTTCTGCAGTTTGGTAATCGTGCGACGTTCGATTACGTTCGATCGAAGATTCATGGGCGTTTAACGAGGTAACATTTGCGTTGCGAAACGTTCGGCGTCGAAAACAATCAACACATCCCTCGTTCTAAGAATATGGCGCGCTCTTAACGTGTTTTGACGTTTCTCACCGTTTATCCTTATTTGACTGTCGTATCTCGAATTGGTCTTTAAATTTGAAACGCTGCAGAATTATATTAATATTGATCAAATTTTTCCAATTTCTTTTATTGAACTGCGCTTACAGATATTATGAATTTCAGTTTTATATAATAACTACCTTGTTTTTCTATCATGGTTGAATTTTTTGGACAAATGCAATCATCAGATAAGAAAGAATGAAGTAGAGATAATACGGTGGAAAATGATGGATTGGTTAACTGCTGACGACTTAATTCAGGTTAACTCAGATTTGGTGTAATATGGAATTTCCTTTATCTCGATTTAACTCAGACCTACTGCACTGGTTTAGTTTATTTGATAACGCGTATGTTTGGGAGGTTCAGTGCTCTTCTTTCGTGGGCACGTTTCTTGTTGTATCTTCAGCTCTTTGCACCGTCAGTAAAAAATACTGTACATAAAAGTATAGTTTGCTCTTAATGTAATTCTCGTTGCAAACATTTTTCCTTAATTTATGCACCTTTGATAAATATTGATTTTGCATCTTTCACATTTACGATTATTGCATACAGAAATAACATATCTTATTGATATAATAAATATATAATACGAAAATGTGTTAACTTTATTCTTTGACCAACTTAATCACCTCAATTAACGAGGTTTCACAAACAAAGTCATAGACAAGTAGATTTTCTCATAATCTGTTTTCCTAGAACTACAGGATATTTTGAAATTGAAAGAAAAAATAGCTGATTACCATTTTCTTCGATGAATCGATAAAAGATAATTAACTTTTTGCACGAACGAAGGACGATAACTTGTTATTTGCAATAAACTTAGACTTCATTTTTTCCCTTACAGTCGCAGAGATTTTAACCATGAAGTCAGTTTCCTTCTCGTTAATATGATAAATCGATAAATTAACCATTGATCATCATTAAATCGATAAAATATTAAAACCGACACTAACAAATTTTTATTGAGACAAAAATTTATGAATATCCACCGTTCGTATGTTACAGATAACACATTAACGAACATAAAAAGTGAACGTATCGCAAAGAAACAAAATAGCCGCACAGCCAGACAGTGATATGAAGAATACGCAAAACAACAGTTATGGTATGTTAATTTATTTCGTACTTACTCATTATGTAGCATTGAACTTAAAAGATACTAAACATTTCTTAAACAAGATGAAACTATTTCGCTAAATCCACTAATTGGAGATTCGTCGCCCTTCGATATAACCAAACTGAACTTGAAAATGTTAATACTATTGCTACGTAAAATAAATTGTTCTAAATTTTAATCTAAGAGTACCTCGATCGATTAGAATCCTGAAAACCGCCCCTAAACGCCCGAAGGCTAGCCTCGATGCTAATTGAAAGATGACCTGGTTAATCTTGCAATAATTTCAATTTTTCATGAAACAAGATGAAACCATTTCGCTAAATCCACTAATTGGAGATTCGTCGCTCTTCGATATAACCAAACTGAACATGAAAATTTTAATGCTACTGCTACGTAAAATAAATCGTTCCAAATTTTAATCTAAGAGAACCTCGATCGATTAGAATCCTGAAAACCGCCCCTAAACGTCCGAAGGCTAGCCTCGATGCTAATTGAAAGATGACCTGGTTACTCTCGCAATAATTTTCACGTACGTATTTTCGCGTTTATAAAACTCAAAGTAGGTTGCTTTTGCAATTCTATCAGACTAGCCTCAGGGATTGTTTGTCCTCGGGCACGAAATTTATTCGCGCGAAAGACAACGCCCTCGAACGCGATGCATTTCTCGCATAAGAACGATTTCTTGGTTCGCTATTAAAACGATGCCATCGATCTAGAAAGACTGGCGATATACGTAGATCATACGAGTCTCCCAAGAAGGTGGACGAAGTTGCACGCACGAAGGCTGGTTTCCACTGTCTCGAGGTTACCGTACCATTTTACGGTTCACATGAACCCGTCGATCGGTTTTTTGTATGAAACTGGTTTCCTCGTCACTTGGTATACTTAAACGTAATAAAGGATCAAATGGTACGAACGCATTACCGAAGAATCTTGTTCTCATTTTTTTCCCCCTCCCGGGAGGCAATTTTGGAGCAAAAAGACATTGCTCGGTGATTGAAGGGAAAATGCGAGTCTGCTACTTGTATGCCGATCAACTGTTTGTACACGGTAAAAGAAACTGTAATTTCATTTCCACGTCGAAATTAGTGACGCCATTTCACGTTCGAAGGCTGACATTTAAGCATATTAGCGTCAGAAAGTTACAGACCGAAGTGGTTTGTTAGGTTACTCTATAACATATTAGTTTTCGTAATTTATTAATGTCCTCTGTGTAATTATATCTCTCAACTGATACTGTTTAGAAAAACTATATTTTTCTACAAAAACTATATTTTCTGCGTTAGCGATTGTAGATAAATGCAACTACCACCTGGCTTACCTTGAATTTCGTTATCTTCTGAAATATGAAAAATTTGTTTCTGAAAATTAGGTCAGAAGCTGTAATTGTTGCTTTAGTAAACGGTTTTCGTAATTTCTTTTAATGATATGCTATTTGACTTGAACTTGCAAGAGAGTTTAAATATTTCAAGTGTTTAAATATTTTGGTAAAAATAGAATGTCATGCAGAATATATTTTACTGAGAATAAAAAGATAAGCAAAATATCATGATATTTTACTAAAAATATAAACATATGCAAGATATCATATTTGATTAAAAATAAAAAAATATGCAAAATATCAGGATGTATCATAAAATATATTTTATTAAGAATAAAAAGATATGCAAAATATTATGATATTTTACTAAGAATATAAACATATGCAAGATATCATGATATTTTATTAAAAATAAAAAAATATGCAAAATATCAGGATGTGTCATAAAATATATTTTATTAAGAATAAAAAGATATGCAAAATATCAGGATGTATCATAAAATATGATATTTTATTAAGAATAAAAAAATATGCAAAATATGATGTTTTACCAAGAACAAAAGGATGAAGCAAAATATCAGGATGCATCATAAAATATATTTGACTAAAAATAAAAAGATATGTAAAATATGATATTTCACCAAGAAAGATCATGCAAAATATCATAAACATTTAGCGAGATCAAATTTTTCCATAACTAGATGACGAAGGTATTCATGATCAAAGTTGTTGATCACTCTGTATATCTATGTACATATTCATAATATGTACATTGATATTTGTAACATGGTTGCACCTACATTCGCAGACTAGAATGCATGTAATGATACGTGCGAAGAATGCCATTATCATGTAATTATTCTCGAAATACAAAGAAACCGATTTACTTTGTCAAATATAAAAAGCAACGAGAATTCAAGGTAGGAAAATCGAAAATTTAATATCTGTGAAAGAAACGAGTCATTACATAGTAATGTGCTTAAAAACAAAGACATTAATCGTATAGATCTTAATGATAATTCATTTTCTTCCTGTGTTTTCCAATATTATAAGCGGTTCTATCGTTTTTCCTCGTGTTAATGAGATTTTCGATGAGGGAAATCCCACAGGAAAACTGATGTTTTTCTTCTTTGAACTGTTGAATTGTTCCATTCGCGCAATATATTCTAAGACGTCTAATTTGCATGAAAACGTCTTACATAGTTAACTAAACACCTCCTCGAATTTGTAAGCCGCAATTTTGCATACGTCATATTTTCACAGATAACGAAGTATTCGACATTTTAATTACTGATAAGTAAATTCATTCGCGTAAACGCCGGAGTAATTGAAGTCAAGTAGAAGAATGGAAACGATTGTGTTCTTATTTTTCTTGCATAAGCTATTACGATGTACAACACATATGCCCTTAAATCTCACTGAAAATTTTGTTTCTCTTATATGTACATTTGTTGTATCACATTTCGAATGTATTGTAACGATCTCAAAACTTTTGCTCGAAATATTTATCATAACACATCGTACTCTAATAATTAAAGAAAGTTCATTTTTGATTTATCATCGTTTGATCTTGAATCGAATTTTTTTAGCTCCAACACGCGTATGACATTTTCAGTTGTTTCTGCACGTTCCGTTCGTGAAACAAGTGTTACGAGAATTGTGTAACAACAGTAAATGAAACTATATTAAAACCGCAATTGCGTGTTTAATGAAATGGATATCATGAAAGATCACGGAGGTGCACTGTTTGTAACCATTTGCCATTGCAAGTACTTCCTTGTTATTAACCTATGAATAATTGATAGCATATTCATGTTTCCTGACAATTATTCTAAATATTACAGTTAGAATTAGTTATGATCCAAACTTGTTACATGTACATTCAATTTTGTGACGTTTAACTGTATCTGTTTATTTTAGTTAATAAAATAAATATGTTGCTCGAGTTCTTCTTTAATAGCTTTTCGTTAGACATACATTGTGTATACATACAGGTAGAGAAATTTTTCGTAGGAATTATTGATTATATTGATTATATTGATTATATGGATTATATTGATTATATTGATTATATTGATTATATTGATTATATTGATTATATTGATTATATTGATTATATTGATTATACTGATTATACTGATTATACTGATTATACTGATTATATTGATTATATTGATTATATTGATTATATTGATTATATTGATTATACTGATTATACTGATTATATTGATTATACTGATTATATTGATTATATTGATTATATTGATTATATTGATTATATTGATTATATGAATAACAAAAATTAATAGTGATACTATCGATAAGGAACTGCTACTCTTTACAGATTATTCTTACTTACTCTCATAATTTTTTATGAAAAATATCAGTCCACCTCTTGTGATAACTACCTAAATACGCTACTGGTAATAAAACGAATATGTACTCTAATATATTCGTTGTCGTTGCATAATCTTGTATTGTAACGAATAAATGTCAATAAAGCAGATGTAACAGGTTAAAAGAGCACCTGTTATCGATAATCAGCAAATTTCTGAAATTAACAACGCGTATGTAAATTTAAGCACTTGTTATTAAAAAATATATTCCATCTCAATACTAAAATAAAAAATTATTACTATTTCACTGTACAGCAGTATTTACCATCGAGTATTTTTATCAAATCAGTTTTAATCAGTAAAAATTTGATAAGCACCTTTAGAATCATGAGTCATTGTTTCGTTACATATCAATTTGACAATAATATTTTTTCACTGAATATTAACATGAGATTGCACGAGAAAATTGTGTTTTAGATGATGCATTTTAATTATCGAACTCTCTGACTCACCCGTCGGGGAAGTTTGCTCAATTTGACCCGAACAAAGTTCGAAGAAGGAAAGTTCAACCGGTTCAATTTACACAGCAGACGAATGAATATTAAATGCAAGTTCACGTTGACGTTAGAGTATACTGATATCAGACGATTTCTTAACCGGATAAAATTCTTTGTTTAATATAACAGCTCGGATAATGCGCTTTATTCGTGCGTGTACATCATACGCGATTACATTGTAGCAAACATTTTCGACAGAGCAATTATTTTTGTAGTTATTGAGATGGTAAATAGAGTGATATATTAATGTAATGAGCTTTGTCACATACGATGTTGACAGTAAAAAAAATATTTATTCAGAATTGAGCTATTATACTACTATACTATATTATACTATTTGCGTATCAATGTTATTTGTATTCATATAAATTATTCAATGTTAACTTAAAAATAAATCAACATGCCAATTAAATCCGTAGCAAAGTTTAGTATATTATAATAAAGAGATATTACAGAAAACGTGTATATAAGTATACTTAAACTAATAACCCTTAATATAAAGAATCCTTTGTTACATCTTATCATCGACTTCAAAGCAATACTTGTCACGTTTAGTTTCTTTTGTGACGTGCGTATGTGCAAAAACGTCTAACTTTTGTGCATTGATGTTACATAAATGACATATTCTCTGAACATAATAATGAAAGACAGTGATGAGTGATTGTGCAGAATAAATTTGAATCGATAATTGAAAATTAGCTGTACAGGATAATCGGTAGAAACACAATTATGTCAAGAAATATCAAGCCTTCAAAGTTTCCAATTTTTGCAAAA